AGCCCAGAGGAAAGTAGCAGTAAAAGCAGTCTTTTGAGGGAAAGAAAAGGGTACACAGCCCAAATAGAGAAAGGAAGAGGGTTCATGGTTTAGGGCTTAAGAACAACACATGTTTCGCTTTTTAGGACTAGGAACTGGTAAATCACGACAGCATTACAACTAAGGGTTTAGGGTTTAGGTTTAGACAGAAACAAGGCAAGTTGGGTTTAGAGTGTTAGAGATTTCAAGAGGCTCATACGCGTTCCAGACCGCTCTAGCATCATAACACACCTACCCGACAGCATCACAGCTGAGAGGAGCAAGACTGGGGTCAGACGGATTGGCAACAGCCAGACAGATTTAGCTCAGGCTAACTTAGGCAGGGGTGAGGGGTGGTGCATCCTTCCTCAGGAAGTAATCAATGCCGTCCACTCGGGCATCCCAGCCATGATGGGGAGGAGCGTGCGTGAGTCTCTCCTGTATTCCATATTAACTTGCCGGGCGAATAGGACTGTCGCTCCCCAGAATGGTAGGAGTCTGAACCAAGAGGTTCTGTATTGAAAAAAAAAAAAAAGAGAGGTTCAGCAGCCAAGTTCTCCCTTCTACAATGGCTCTAGGTCATACCGGCATAGCCTCCAGGCCTACTGGTGTGCTGGAAAGGTGGGGAAATCATGACAGGCTGTAATCACTCTACTGGGTCGGAACGTACCTTAAACCAATATACATGTGTTCGGGTACCATCATTACTCCTACTGCCAAGTCTGCTGCAGAAAGGGCCTCTCCAAGTTGCTCTAAAATCCCTGCCAGGTCCCTGCAGTTCTTTTTTTTTTTTTTTTTTTTTTTTAAGAAGGGCGACGGCCTTGGGATATCTTCATTGATTGGACTGGCCCTAGGTAATTCCGACTTATTTATTCCATTCACTAAGGCCAGCAGGATTTGAACTCAGGTCTGTATTTCAACCGTTCATGGGTGTGCCAACTGAGCTAGGCTCTGTCCCTGCAATTTTACCTATACATCTCTGTCCAACTTTTGACTGTATGTCTGCATGCTAGGCCAAGTATCAATCCTACCCCTCTCAGCTTTCAAATTGCAGACGAACCCCCCCTCCCCCCGCCCTTTGGACCTTAAATACGGTATTGGTCCTCTGGGAGGCATCCCAGTCCTGAAACCCTCCCTTACTCCCCTCCCCTCCGCCCCCCTCCCCTTTCAACAGTCTATGTACCTGTCTGCTGTAGCAAACTTACCAAGCTACCCTTCACCATGTTCAGCATATACGGTTAATTCCTTCTCCGAGGCCCAGATCAAAGCAAAAACAGATACTCAAGCACAGGAATAGACGTAGATCCATCAGAACAAGCCATTCTCAAAGAAATGTACGCCATCTCAGTCCAAACCCAAGCAAACACACAAATCTGCTCACACAAAACACAGATTTCTCAAACTGAAAGATGTGTGGGTTATTTCATGCAAAGCTATTGCCCAAGGGAGGCATCCCAGCCAAAGGAAGTGGAAGAACTGATGGGTCAAAAGGGAGTGGAAGGACTGATGGGGCGCCGGTAGCGCTCATTCTACAATGTAATTTTATTTCGTGAAAGTAAACTCTTACTATCTCTATTGCCCAAGATCATCCCAGATGTGAGTGCTGACGTCGGAAATGCCTGCAAAATTGAGAGGATGCAGTCAACCAAGCCACAGTCAGCCATTACGCGAAGGGCGCTTGCCCCTGCCCTTAAACCACCAGTACATGGCCGAGGCAAACTTGAGAATTGGAATCGCCTCATTCCAAAGTTCAAAGGCTCAGGGCTACTGGGCCAAAATGGCCGGCACCACCAGCCAAAAGAAAAGGAAAAGTGCTACACTGGCATTTCGGCATAGCTTGACGCGCAGGGGGAATCCGCCTCTCGGCAAAAAGAGGCTCAGATGTACTGGTGATTTTGCCCGCCCGTACCAACCGAGCCTCTTTTTGCCGTGACAGATTTGCACTGTGCACCAAGCTTTGCCGAGCCGCCGACGGCCCACTTTTTCCTTTTTTGGCTGGTGCCGCCAGCTATTTTGGTCCGGTAGCACTGTTAAACTGCAATTTGTGGATTGGCTCAATTTCGATTCTCAAGTTTGAGTGCGCTTCAAGTAACTCACGAAGGACAATAAATGATGTGAGCTGCAACGTAGCAGCTATTGATAGCTGCTTGACTTGGCCTTGGTTTGCTTCTGACCGGTACCGATCGCCCACGGCCTGTCTGCTGCATGAATTTTGGTGGCCCGGTACCTTCCGGACTTTTCCTGCGACGCTGCTGCAAAATTGGACTTTGGACTTGGACTTTTCTTGTCGGGTACTTGTTGGACTTTTACCGGTCTTGCTTGTATGGTACCGACTCGACTTACAACGTTTCAGCCTCCTAAGGACCTAAGGACCCTACGACCCTACCTGGGACTCTCCTATGGGACAGATGGAACTGGGACCATCTGGGATGGGCCCAACTGGAACTGGGACAATTTGGGACCCCGGAACCGGGACTTCGGGTGTCTGCAACGTAAAAACCTTTCACTCCCGCTGGCCTAATTTCAAGGTCCTCCGAGAAAGTTGCTAACTTAACCGATCTATAATGTTAATTCCTCTGTGTGCCCTCTCATAATAGGAAACTATGTGAGGGGCAGTTTCTATTGGCTCATCCCGGGTAAACCAACGGTCTTCTTCAGGTTCTTGATAAGCAAATCTCACCTTATACTGGCGCTGTGGCCTCCCTTTGTGTCCTGTTCGGTATGTGTCTTCGGCAACAATACGGTCTACATCGTATTTGCCATCCATGCCAGGTGGTATCATAGACCGTTGCGAGGGGAACTGGTCGTTAGTGACACAGGGAAGTAACTTAGAAGCATGGAAGACCGGGTAAGCATGCAGATGCGGTGGAATCTCAACTGTATAGGAGGGACCATCTGCATCACCAATGACATTGAGAATCTGCCATGGTCCTCTATACGCGGGCAGCAACTTCTGCCATATCCCCTCCTCCGGAGCGAACTCTTTGGACTTAACCCACACCAGATCACCGACAGGCTACAGCAAACCGGGACGGTCTGCGGTGTTTGTTAGCCTGCTCTACCATATGGTGCTGGGCCTTCCGAATGTTCTCCTTTACTCGTTCGAGATCTTTTTCCTACTGTATCGCAAATTATCTACTACCAGGTGGCAGTCTCCGTCCTTGGTCCAGATTTAGACAGTCGATCGGACGCCTGGGTTGCCAACCTTTGTGCAGTTTGTTTGGCGTGCGCGATGTAGCGAAGTGCAGAGAGTTGTTGTACGCACATGCCACTTTGGGAAGATGCTTGTCCCAATCAAGCTCGTCTGGTCTAACGTACATTCGCAACACTTGTTGTAGCAACTTATTCATTTGCTCGGTCTATCCGTTAGTCTCTGGGTGCCTGCCTGATGACATAGTCAATTGGGACCCATAGACTTTCATTAGCAGCTGCCAATGCTCGCCTGTGAACCGGGTATCTCTATCGCTAACTATAGTCAAAGGATGTTCGTAGTCTTTAACCCAGTGGTTAAAGAACTCCCTAATGACTAAGTCCGTCTTCGCCGCTGCAGGAACGGAATAAAAACAGCAAATTTACTAAATCTATCAACAACAACCATGACCTGACTTTTCCCATTCCTACTCCTAACCTGTCGATGAAGTCAATAGACACGGAGTCTCCAGGGCCTCATGGCATAGGCAGCGGTTTCGGCAGTCCCAGGGGAGGCTGCGTGGAACTGTTGTTCCGTTGGCATGTTTTGCAGCCTTGGATGCAAGCAATGCAGTCGTGTTTCATTCTGACCCACGCGTAGGACCGGAGGAGATTAGCGTACATCTTCCTCCAACCGAAATGGGCCTCAGTATTGTGGCATTCCCCTAGGATTAGGCTGCGGACTTCCTCATTGTTCAAGATGCAAAGCCTATAGCGCACGTCTGTCTTCTCGAACAACAAACCCTCAGCCATTCGATAGTCTGGGACTTCGTGAGGTAAAGACTGCAACTTCCTAATCAAGTCGGTGTAGATGGGATCATCTGCGTTTGCAGCCTTGATCTTTTGCTGCAATTCCGTACGAGCATCGAGATAAGTCACTATGGCACCGAAAAAATATGCACACAAACTCTTTTCTATCCTATCCCTTTGCTAGTGGGACCATGCTCCTGGGAACCGATGTGGAAGCTGCACCTGTGTGATCAGGCTATGTAGCAGTGGAAGTCCAGGCGTGAGGTGAACAAATGAACCTTGTTTTGCGCTAGACTGGCTGAAAAACGAACAAACGAACGAATGTGCTGTTACATTGCAGATGATTATGCAAAGAAATAATACTTAAAAAAAAAAAAAGCCCTTGTCAAGCAGACTTCCTGACGCACTAACTCGACATCACGAACATTGCAAAAGGAGCTCGTGGCCAAAAAAACGAATGCAGAGAAGGAAGGGTGAAATTATTTTATTGTGTTCATCTGGTTGTCTTGATTCGAACTGAGGTCTGTAATTCAACAGTTCATGGGTGTACCAACTGAGCTAGGCCCGTTGGTTAGTCGGCAGCATTTCTTCTCTCTTTTTTTCGGTAATATCTATGATC